TGAGCCTCGATCCGGTGTTCGGCGAGTTTGACAGCAGGGCAATATAGAACACCCCCCCCTTTGCTGGACGACCCCAGATTCTGGAATTTTATGCGAAGAGTAAAATGAGTTCCTGCGTCGGAATACGAAGACAGCTACTAAGCTCTTTCTGATGGTGGAGCGGCGGAGGCTGAAATCCAGCATCCCTGAAGCCTGGTCCTGCTTTCCATTGGGATATTTTTGGTCTCGTTTCAAATACCGTGCTGGGGGAAATTCTTGTGACTTTACGTGGAGGCTCGAATGACCGTGAGAAAGCTGCGGAGACGGATCATTCAGCACCTCTAGCTTCAGTTCTAGATTTGCGAGGGAGAAATTAGACAATTTGACACGGCCATGATTTCTCGCAACGTCTCGCACTCTCCAAGCTGAGGGAGCACTTCTGTCGGTTTTCCGTTTTCCCAGCCCTTGTGACGGCGTTTGCGCCAATTCGTAACTCGATGTGATCAATGTATCATGGCATCCACTCTGGGTCTCCGCCATTTTCACCATCCGAGGAAGGGAACAAACGAATGCAGATCACATACGAGCATTTGGCATATTTCCTGTGATTCCCGGAGAGGCGCAGTTATCGTTCATGATTTGGAAGTCGGAAGATAGAGATAAGAATTACCGAAAGATTCGATTGAATCCCTCCAAAAAAAACACACAAGAAGGTGATGCAGCATTGTAAGGGGAGCATCCGCATGCGATGACCATCCACCCACAATCCTTTATCTATTGCTTTTGCTTTCAGTCATTCATTCAGTATCTACCGAATAATTCATTCATTTTTTTTCCAGGTGGGTTTACTTTGTTCGAGATTCGCCTATCAGGATATTGTAACTAACAATTCTCTAGCAATTTATCCCCTGGGATAACGTATTACGCAACGTTGAAACATCTATCACAATGCCTTCTGCTATGAAACTGGCACTCGCCGGAGCCGCTGCACTCCTTTCTGCCCTTCATGTCAATGCTGCTGCTTGGGAAGCCCGCCATGGCCTGACCAGAGATCAATTCCAAAAGACCTAAGATGTGCTTGAGGCCAAGAATTATAGCCTCGTTGATGTCAGTGGGTACACCGAAAACAACAGCCCCCGCTTTGCTGGCATTTTTATAAAGCACGACAATAAGCCAGATGTCGCTGCCAGGGGCGAAGTTGACGCCAAATCTTATCCCGCTCTGTTCTTCCTGCTCCGTGCTGAAGGTTATCGACCAAAGGTCGTTGATGGATATACTGTCAACGGCAACGCTAGATTTACCACTATATGGGACAAATCGTCCAAAACCCCCTGGGAGGAGAGAACCGGCATGTCTGCTGATGGATTCCAAAGAGTTTTCGACCATCTTGTTAAGAAGGAAGGATATCGCCTGACCTATGTCAGCGGCTACGCTGAAGGGAAAGAGGCCCGCTATGCTGCGATCTGGGAAAAGTCGAACAAGAAAACCGAGTGGGTTGCTCGTTTTGGCCTCACAAGCAAGATATATCAGGAGGAATTCGACAGGAACTTGAAGCACGGCCTCAGACCAGTCCATGTCAACGGGTACTCTGTTGACGGCAAGACTTATTTCGCTGCCATCTGGGAGAAGTCCAACTCTGTTTTTGAAGCCAGACATGGCTTGACCGCCCAGAGATACCAAGAGACTTTTGACGCTTTGGTCAAGAAGGGCTATGTCCTTTCTGTTGTTAGCGGTTATGAAGATGGAGACTGCATCAGATATGCTGCTATCTGGAACAAGGAATAGATCAGACGTGCTATCCAGAGTGAAGCCTGCCCAACCTGAGTTCCTAGCTAAATTAAGGGCGGGGACGAGAACGGTTTCCAGAGCCCGAAGGCATCGTTTTCCAATCAGAACTGATTTTTATAGACTCGAAGGTACATCTTAATCTTTATTTGCCAACGTTATTATTATAGTGAATATGCTTCATGCTCACACGAATTTCGACCTGCAAAATCGCATTCATTGCGTGCTTCACCAAATACTTTGCATTTTAAAATTTTGTGGAGGTGATGCCCCGAGACTTAGTTATCCTAGGCGTTTTAATTGTTGATAGTGTAACTACTAGTAGCAACGATCTATTAACATTTGGTCTGACTGAGAATATCTCAATGGCTCACCCCACCAAAATCTTTGGGGTCGTCTAACTCTGGGATAATGGCCAGAATTATTGGAGCTCTAGTACTCCTTATTGAGATTTACAAGATGAGAGTTGAAGTGGCCCAAATTTTTGCGGAATTCATGTCGCCCACCCCAGTCACCACTGCCATAAATGCTCAAATGTTCCCAATCAGAATCCAAAAAGGTTTACATCCTCTTTATAACCCCATTCTTTCAGATTTGGCAGCGCCGCCATTTTAATCAACCCAGGTGGCCCGCAGAGGAGAGCTACATTCTCTTCCGCTGGCTCAAAACCATACTTCCGGATGATATCTTTATTCACAAACCCGCTAATTCTCCCCTCTGGCAACTCCTTGTATGGATGTCCAAGAACATGCACAATCTGAAACTGCTCCGGGTGCTGCTTCGCAAATTCCTCAAGCTCGTCTGCTAACAGTATGTCATCCCCCGTTTTGTTGGCGTCTATTACTCTGATGCGGGTTGAGTCCTTTGAACCGCCAGGCACCTTATCTGAGCGGAGAATGCGCGCTATGAGCTGGTATCCAGGTGTAATTCCAGACCCGCCAAGGATTAGTGTGACGTTTTTGAATGTGCGCTTCTTGCCGTCAATCACGAATTCACCATGGCCTTTATATTCAATCAAACCTGCGGGGCCTTTGACTTCGACCTCTTCGTTTTCACGCAGGCAGTCTAGTATGTTGCTGATCGTGCCGCCAGGCTGTGTAGAGCTTGGGAAATACGTTTTTACGACGAGACTAAAGGTACCGTCTGCCTCGCTTTCGAAAACCGGCCGCACAGGTGTGTAGGCTCGAATTACAAGTTTGTCAAAGAAGTGGAATCCCAGAAGGATGTGTTGGCAAGTGCCCAGACCGAGACTTTTTACGCCCGGAGGGAGAGCAAAGGTATATAATTGGGTGTCTGCAGAAAGTCGTCTTTTCTCGCGAAGGCGGACCTGGGTCCATCTAATTATTGTGAGTGAGTGAGTTAGTGTCATAAATATCATAGGATACAGGTCCGGTGAAGGTTTATTACTTATGGCGCTGGATCCCCCGTCCAGAGCTGGCCGAGTCGGCTTTCGCCTTTGCTTTCGCACTTTCTTCAGCTTGTTTCTTTATGTATCTCTTCGTCTTATCGGTTACAACGCCGAGTACGCATTCTATTTATTGCGTTAGCCGATGCACAATACATGAGTAGAGTGGCCTATGGACTATTATCTTCCACAAACATCAGGTTTGCTCTGGATGTGCATACCACTCAATTTCTTCTGAGCATAGTCATCGTGGACACTGCCAAACTCCTCTGTGGTCTCGGCATGAACCTTCCCCGCATGCGCCATAATGGCAGCCGCTCCTCCAGGGTGCCAGTCGAGCACGCTCGTCGCATCATAAACTTTGTTATTGATGACGATCCAGCAGTCTGATTTCGAATCGTGTTTTTCAATCTCTTCACGGGTGAACTGCTTCTGTGGAGCTGGCACTTCATGTCGGATCTCATCCAGTTGATCCTCTGTTGACGGCTTCATCCAGCCCCCCTGACCCGATCCTGGTTCAGTAGGATGTTGGAAGGTGATCGACAGGTCGCCAGACTTCGGGTCTTGAGTAATATTACTGCGGACGGTGTACCAGCAGTTGTTCATCATACTAATTCCGTATAGCATCTAGATTAGTACGAATCATGCACGATCCTAAACAAGGGATACCAACCCCAGTAAATTCCAGTTCAGCCCTTCCGACTGACAATTTTTGAACACATCGAAGCATCGGACTGTGATTCCGCTTGCTTGGGCTAAGTGAGAAATGTCGACATCAACAGACCAGTGAATCCAAGTCCAAAACTTTTTGCCATGGCGAATTGGTGCCTCGGGAAACTGAGCCGCGATAATGATTTTAATTAGCACCTTTTCGATGACGATGGTTCCCCGCAGCAGACCTGTAGACTTAGAATGGCGGAAAGGATTGATGTTCTTACCCTACGGATACAGTACAGCCAGCTTTTACCGCGGTCCAAACTGACTTCAACCCTCTGGACCTCATGGCCCCCTCCTGCATATGCCAAACCTTCAACTCTATATAGCCGCCTCTTTTTTTGATCCTCTGACACCAGATTTAGCTTCTCTCCGTGGGCGGGCTTAACAATCACGGAATTCAAGCTCTGCTCATTACACGCAGTGCTGGTGTTGGAAAACATCGCCTTCGCAAATTCCGAATCCATTTCGGTGATAAATCCAGGCACCACTCGATTGTCAAACACATGATAATAGCTATTATTTGGTTTGTCAGAAATCCAGATACGTGAAAGCCATTTCACCCATCGTCCACCGATGTAACCGGGAATAATGACGCGCACTGGATACCCATGGTCTGGCGGCAGCGCTTTGTCATTCATCTCATACGCAAGAATAACGTCGTTACTCGGATCCATGGCATACTCCAAGGGAATGCATGTTTCATACTTGCCCTCGTTCGGATGATCTGCGCCCTGGAAGTTGACCCAGGACCGCCCGTGTGCCGCATCCTGACGAACGCCCGCCGCAAGGAGAACATCCCGAAGCAACGGCCCTTTCCAATACGCACACCCACAAGCTCCAGGTCCCCAGTTGAACCCCTTCGACCTTTTGGTCATGTTAACTTCCTTCCGTCTATTGCCGTCACACGCCATGAGGACAGGGATATTAATGGGATCAAAGTCGTCCTTTAGCTGTTGCATGGGCAGCACCAGTTTTCCGTTTTCGACATCAAGTTGATGGGTTTGCCAGCGCAGATGAGGAACGGGGCCGTGGTTTCGTACGTAATGTATTTTATTCGGGGTAATTAGACCAGCATTGTAAAGCATGCTCAGGGGAGGTTCAGCATTGAATGGGTGCTTGCCTGTGAGGCGAATGAGAGTGTCGGTTCGCGGGACCCAGTTATCAGGAGTAAACTGATCAGCCTCATCTATGAAAAATCGCCTCTGCTCTTCATCGTGGGCTAACGGAGACTGTCCCTTGCCATCGTTAATTCGGAGAGAGTGCATATATACGTTCTCGTGCTGTAGGGCCCGTAAAAGTGCAATCTCTTGGGCGGAATATTTTTGCTTCAAATCATCACACTTGCCAGCTGTGAGCTTCTTCTCGGCCTCACTTTGGCCAGCGTCGTCATCTGGTTCCCTGAGAGCATATGCGTTTTGCTGAGTGGCATTCTCTCCACGTTCTCGTCGCCATTCATGCTCCTTCTTCACCTCCTCCTCTTCCTTCTTTTCCTTTTCTTCCTGTTCCTTCTGTGTTTTCTGGATATTTGCAGGCCAGTCTTGCTGATTCTTGATAAAGTCTTCCGTGGTATGTAGCACATACCGCCAGCCCTCTGAAAAAACTTCGGGTCTTCGCAGATGGAAATCCTATTGTCGCCGTTTGATTCAAGAATATCGTATTAGCGGAATCTAGAACCAAGGAAGTGGACCTAACAAACGCAAAGCCAACCAAATGACCCTCAATTTGAGGTGAGAAAAAGGAGAGAAAGAGGGAGAGTCTAATATACTTCCTGGTTCACCATAACATCCCGCACCGTAATCAGATCCCCACTCTCCAATCTCTTTTTGAATTCCGCCTCAGTCTTAACTGCTTGTTCTTCATATTCAAGCTCCTCCTTTAGCCATTCGTCACCCCGGTGAGTTAAACCAGGGACATTATTTTCCCCATTGCGAAGCCCGATACGGTGCAATCCAGCTGTTTGCCAATCCGGTTCCTCCTCGATTTCCACCTCAGTAGAGCCGGGGTGGTACCTTGGGCGGGTGTAATGGGCGTGCGGTGCCATTATTTCTCGGCAGAACGGTGAATTGATTCTATCTTACTCGTTTTCTTTGTATTCTTTCTTTGCGATTGATTTGGTCCACAAGTGGAGAGAGAGGAGAAACAGGGCTAAAAGGCGGGGAGGGGTGTTAGTTCATTCCGTAGTGTGGCGTGTTTCACGTCCGGGGGGATCAATTGTCGGTATATTATGTTCAGGGGTAGCATGGTTATCCCCTGCCTTGCTAGCTAACCAGTGAAAATTCCTTTATTGTTAATTTGCTGGATAACTGTGAACTCACATCGATGACATCATCGCCAATTGACCTTTGGGATCACTTTGCACCACTGCACTAATTCAGTATGACAAACGAGACGAATATAATGTGGTACAAGATGATCTAGAAAGTGATGAAAATTTGGGTTTATTTAAAATATGTTAAGTAACACAATTAAGGTAGCATTGTTATTGATGTCCCCTTCTCTATCCGCGATCTAGAAACTCCACGTGGGGGCCAGCGAAATATAGTTAATTTAGAATTCCCGCGTCCTCCGTCGAGGGTAGGATTTTGTTCACAGAATGACCTTATGCGTCGCTCCCTTTTCCAATTCATCACCGAAGATATTGATATCCCATCGAGGTGAGTCTGGAGGAGAAGTCAGTTAATCCAAATCGCGATGACTACCGAAAATTCCAAGATACAGCGAGGCTCTCTACTTACAGTATGCATAAGGTGTATTGTAACGCTTCGGCACCTTACCCAGGTCGTTGATGGTCGCAATGTCATCAGGAGGCAAGTTGATCTCCTTGAAGTTCTCGACGATTCGAGCAGGTGTGACCGACTTTGGGATGACGCTGTGGCCACCGACTTGAGACCAGGCAAGCCTAGAAAACAATGTATCAGAACCATACAAAACAGGACCACCATCCTCAGGATCAACGAGTAAGGCATACAGGACTTGGGCGGGCGTGGCGGAGAGTCGGTCCGCGATCGCTTTAATCTCTGGGCGAGTAATAAGAAGTGGTTCTCCAATCATGTTATTTCCAAATGCCTGTTTCCGGAGGGTTAGACTGCCCATGAAAGGCTAATGATACCAAACTGACCGAGTATGCAGTGATGTGGATACCCTTCTCCTTGCAATATTTCACTAGGTCATTGCTCTGAAGGAGAGGGTGGCGTTCAACCTGGTTGACAGCAGGAACAACCCCGGTTGCCTTGATAAGGGCTTCGATCTAGTTGGGATTTGTCAGGTCAGAACCAGTGATGCGAATACAACAAATGCAGGGACCCCGGGTAAGATAGACAGCATACATGTTCAATTGTGTGGTTGGATACCCCTACGCTTTTGACTTTGCTCTGGGGAAGGCTGATCATTGCTATTGAGGTATGTTAGCTAGAATGCTTGATTAGAATCCAGGTTGTCATACTAACGACGAACCTCTCCAAGTATCAACGAGCGACACCGAATCAGCAATTTGAACGT